CTCACCCACTCACTCTCACACTGTCACACTCACACTCACACTCAGTCTCACACTCTCACTCTCACCGTCAGTCTCTCACTCACACTCTCTCTCACACTCACCCACTCACTCTCATTGTCACTCACTCACACTCACAGTCTCTCACACTCTCACTCACTCTCACACTCTCGCACTCACTCTCACACTCTCGCACTCACTCTCACACTCACACACACTCACTCTCACACTCTCACACTGTCACTGTCTCTCACACTCTCACTATCTGTCTCACTCTTACACTCTCTCACACTCTCACACACTCACTGACACTGTCACACACTCTCACACTCACTCTCTCACTCACACTCACCCACTCACTCTCACTGTCACAGTCTCACACTCTCACTCTCACACTGTCACACTCACACTCACACACTCTCAGTCTCACACTCTCACTCTCACCCACTCACTGTCACTCTCGGTCTCTCACTCACACTCTCTCACTCTCACACTCACCCACTCACTCTCATTGTCACTCACTCTCCATCTCACACTCACTCTCACTGTCACTCTCAGTCTCTCACACTCTCACTCACTCACACACACACACACTCTCACTCTCTCACACTCACTCTCACACTCTCATACTGTCACACTCACACTCTCACACTCAGTCTCTCACACTCAATCTCACTTTCACACTCACTCTCATTCACACCCCTACTCATTCATTCAGTCACTCATTCCCTGAGCTGCAGGGAAGCCCATGATGGGGTGCAGTAAGTGCCATGCAGAGCATGAACACCGTGCGGGCGGGGTGCAGTGGGCATTACACAGGCACCAAGGAAGCTGTATGTGGGGAGAGGGTCCCCCATCAATGAGGGTCATGGTCATGGGGAGGCCCCTCGTCTCTCCTAGAAGGCATTGCCCTGCAGCTTGTGCCCTCAGGACAGTACCCTGACTAGTACTCTCTGCTGGTGACAGTGGCAGCATGAGGGTCCAGGCCAAAGGGTCCTCATAATCCTCTATGTGACAGACCTCCCTTGCACACAGTGATCCCAACGGTGTCTCCTCCCCACCCCCACACTGTGTGGGGGTACTTGAGGGTCTGCAGGTGTCCCCCCCTCCCCTGCACCTCTCTCCTGCTTGTTCTTGGGTACACTGGGGGGTCTGCAGACATCCTCTCCCCCTCTGCCCCTGGTACCTCTTGTTCTTGGACAAAATGTACATGGGTGCACACTGGGGGTCTGCAGGCATCCCTCCCACACCTTGTATTCTTAGACAGACTGTACATGAGTGTCCCTCCCACACCTTGTGTTCTTAGACAGACTGTAC